TCATTCCAGTTGATGATTCAGAATCACTTGATGAAGATTTTGAAGGACTTGATGTATTCTTATTAAAAGATTTAGTTAAATCACTTACAACAGTTTTTGAGGGTGAATATTTTGAAGAAGAACTATCTTCTATGTCCGTAGGGTTATAACAGTCATCCTTTCTGTAATTTAAAACAAAATAAATACACAAATAGTATAATTAATTAATATTTATTGTTATATTATAACATAATTAGGTTTAAAATTACTTTTTAATTATTACTCCTGTAATATGAGGAAGTTTTTTTTGTGAGATCAAAAGATATAACTTTAACATCAATTTTGTTGTCCTTTTTAATTTTAGATCCTGACCACTGGTGATACGGTTCATTTTCAGGTCGTACTATAGAAACGTTGAACAAATTATGCACTAAACAACTGACATGATTATCACTTGTTTGGTTAACTACAGCTAAAAAACAAAGAAATCAGACACGTGATTAAAAATAAACACAAAATAGACTATACAAGTGATAAATTTATATCAAAATTAATTAACTCAAACAATTTTAAAATTCAAAATTATATATGACCACTGTTCATTTATACCAGGCATGCCCAACCTTTTTCAACTGGCGTGCCACATTCAAAATGTATATTTGTACTGCCGTATATGCTTCATGAGTTATTTTTTTTTTGTTCATTTCGATAAAATATAGACTAGTCATAGGTATATCTATTGTACTTACACTTCTTATTAAGAATTGGCGTTACAGATTTCACTTCGAACATTGAAAGATTGGTTAAAGAAAAACAAGCCCAAATTTCTCACTAATTTTTTTTATTAATATTCTAAAATCCAATGCATTTTTTTAATGTAAAAATTCAAAATTGTAAAATATTTTATATTCTTAAAAACTTAATAAAATACATTTTTTTGTAAATAATAATTTTTTTTTTTACACCTATACAAATTTCTAATTTTTATAAAACGATCACGGGCCAGTTGGAACACCTTTGTGGGCCGCGGGTTGGGCATACCTGATTTAAACTAAATGATGGTATTAAACCAAATAATAAAATACCATATATATATATTTTAAATAAAATATTTAGGGAATTAATACATTATTAATTTTAGTTGTGGTAGTCTATATACTTTTAATTTCTTTATTTAAATTTTGTATGACAATAAATAAGTTTTGACATTAATAAAATTAGTTATATAAATGTTGTTTATGCATAAACCTAACTAAATATGTTTTGCTAAATAACTTGAAATAATTTAAGTTGTTGACTTTCCATAAAAAAACATAATGCATATTTTTTAGGTAGTATAAAATGATTAATAAAGTGGGTCAGTTTATACACTCTATAACAAAAAAAAAATAATAAAAAATAAAAATTTCAGAATTTTATTGTAGAATAAATTTAAGTATAGGTTTTATATAATTATAACAATGCATAATTTAAGAAATTAGAAAATAAACTATTCTTCATTTGCTAATCTTCTTTATAATTTATAATTACAATTAAGTATTTTTAATTTAGCGATGATATTAAAAACCATTTGAGTTGAGATATGATAAATGGCACAAAATCAAAACTTTAGTACTTAGAAACCCATTTAAGGAGTGGTCAAAATGTATAAGTTATATTTCTTTAGTTAAATTATGTAATTAAAGTGAACTTATTAATTACTACTAACAAAAACAAAATACTTTTACTATATAAGATATATTATATATATATGTATTATTTTTAATTTATAACTAATAAGTAGAGAGCGGATTTTTAGGTTTTTACATATTTTTATTGGTTTTATGCAGCTTTATGAGAGTGAAAAATATGGACGACTTATCCATCACAGAGTTCATAGGAAAAAATTTATTTAGCATATTAAAGCATATTTTGGACTTAATAAAATATTTAGCCTATTTTTCATATTTTAGAATATATTCTATTATTGTTCATAAAAAATCATATTATACATTATTAATTTATCGATTTGTGATATTTTCCAGCAACAATTTTTTCTAGGAAAAAAAATTATTTTATATAAGAATGATAAAAATTAAAAATCATCCAATTATCTACTTGTTTGTAATCAAATTGGTAATGGTGATCATTCTGTTACTCTTAATCTATGATTGTACTTACGATCTTATAATAATGTGATAATAATAATTTCTAATAATAAATCTATTTTTACTTTTATATTGTTTATTATTTTAACTTTTATGTCTGATGATTTAGTTAAATTTGTAATATTCATTTTTATTTTTTTAAATACCAAAAATTAATAAAAGTTTAAAATATTTACATAAACAGTGCATAGAGCCATATAATAAAACAAATGATACAGTATTACTAACTGATGGTGATATAGTTTAGTAGGTAACTAAGTATGAATTAATTTTGTTTTTATTAATTTTATTTGTTTTTTATAAATATTTCATTATATTTATAAAGGTAACTAAGTATGAACTGATTTATGTTTTATAGTTAAATAACTTAACTGTTACTAAAGACCATGCAAGTTATGTATTGTTTTTATTAAACTATTTTGTTTTTATATAATATATTTCATTATATTCATATACCTATGTACTGTTTTGTATTTTTTATAATTAAATATTTTATATGTTACCAAAAAGGAAAGGTACACAAGTTATTTATTGTTTTTATTAAATTATTTTGGAGAAAAAAACAAATCATATTATCTGTATATTTACAAGTTTAAGGAATATTTAGAGAATATTTAAGGGTTTTTTTAGAACATATTAGCATCATATTTTAAGCTTTTAAGAACCTAAAAATCTGCTCTTTACTAATAAGTAATAAATAGTTTACATTAAAATCAACAAATGGGGAGACACAGACTTCAATTATTGAATTCATTTAAATGTATAAGTACTTACGTAAATATCATATTGAAAAGCTAGCCCACTGCCTAAATAGCCTAAATCAAAACTGATAATGTCGAAGACTAACCTTCAATTATAGATCCAACTGGAGGTCTGAATATAAATACATCAACGTTGACAACTACAGTGATACAATGTCGGATATCAGCTGGAATAAGTTCATTCGAACTTATTTTACCAAATCCCATAATCAGTCCATTTAAACTGAAAATATTAACACATATAATAATTAAAAATTAACTGCATGCAATTAATACAAAAATTAAAAGTAACATGTAACAGTATAAACTTTCAACTTACTCAGAACAGTATGTAAACTTTAAATTATTAAGTTCATCTCTAATAGCTTTTGAAAACACTTTTGGATTGCTAGGAGCTGCATGAAAACCAAGTTTCAATTTGTACTTATGGTCTTTGTGCAAATACACATGGTGTGGCAAATTATTGGGATCCATCATTTTTAAGCAATATTAAAAATACATTCTAAAATTTGAAGTGTACAGCTTCAAACTGATACATCAGCATATTCGAAGTATTAGGCACCTACTACTCGGAATACTTACTAAATATATTATTAGTCAATTTCTGTAAACGTGTGTAATCACGATTAGAAATATTACATAAACGCCAAAATAATAACAGTTGAACATCAATAATCAAAATTATCAATAAAAACTAGATATTATTTACAAATAAAAATCACGTTTACTACCCATCACCACAGAATAAAAATATTACATTCAAACGTTAAAAACATAGACAAGAATATTAAAAGATAATAATCACTATTGGTGCGATGTACAAAATGTTTTTATTACATTACCCCACTGAGCATGGCACACAATTCTATGCTATTGGCGCGTGAAATGATATCATCTTATCAATAAACCATAAAAGAAAAAAATACAACATATCCGTTACAGAGGGGATAACAACATAGCGCAATTGCGACGAAAAATGTTCCAAATCTGAAATTACACTATTTAATCACCAAAGTTTATGCCTATTATTTTATAATTATTATTAATATTATTATACGTAATAGTGTAATACGTATTATGTCCAGTTGTATTACTACGAAATACATCTAAGTTTATAATTATAGACTATAGTTGTTCCAATACTACGATTTAATAGAAAATAAATAGATTATTTTCAATTTACACTAAGTCACCCTAACATATATTATAATGCATTTCAAATTATGAGCAAGGGATGTATTGATTGTATAACTGTTTGAAGCACGACCCAATAAACATTTTACGGACATTCAACGTATATTATACGGCCATATTTAGTTTAAGAATAGTTTAATTGTGGTATATTTTTTGGGTCAAAGAGAGATATATTAAAAAAAAGTATAATCCATGAAATTAGAAACCGTTGCTATATTTTGGTGGTCAAAATAAAAACCCCACTATTTTCGTAATACTTTCTACCTTTTATTAATAATAAATTTAATATAAAATATTAGAATAAACCTATGTTATAAATACATGTCAGTAGTTTGTAATGTTTGTATAATAATTATTTTAGACTAGACTTTTTACGAAGACTTTCCTTACTTTATTTCCATGTGAATGTTGTGTCAATAATAACTTAGATTACATAATATTTTTATTTAAAATGTTTAGCTTATCATGAATTAAACAAAAATAAGTTAATTTTAGTGGCATTAATATGTGCATTAGGTTCTCAGTATTTTTCAAAATAATAGGGAAAAACAAACAATCAATTGACAATTGTGGGAAAAATCCAAAAAACAGTTTTCGACAAAACTCATTTGAAAATTAACAAAAGTTTATCATAAGATTTTTTACAAATGATAATAAAAAAATTAACTGAAAAGTCAAATTATTTTTCAAGAACGTTAGAAATTCAATTTTTTACTATAGGATATTCACTTGTAAAATAATTATTTCTTCCCAACCGATTTTTGTTTTTTGTTGGAATTCAAAATAAGTAACAATATGTAATGATGTGCTTCCAAGCAATAATAATTAAATATTTATATAATAAAGTAAATAATTATGACCTTTAGCTACAAGTCATTTATTAATATAATCATGTAAGACAAAAATTAAATATTTAATTACAATATAATAAAATGACCTATGGTCGGATCATAAAAACAATAGATAAAATACACACACACGTAGGATATTAATTATAAAAAGGCCGGTCACCGCCAGTCACACTCAGTGTCCTTATTGTCTCTTTGTATAAACCATCACAAGCGAGAGTAAAAGACTACGCAGATCGTATGTACAAGAAGACATAAACATTGAAGATTGTTAATAGTAAAAATTAAAATATATATTCACGTATTAAAAGTTTTATAATAAAGTTAATGAGTTAAGTCAAATAAAATAAGTGTTGTAATTTTTTAATGCATACCAGTTACCTTCAAGACACCCATAGAGAAAACATTGTCAGAAAGAAGAAAAAGTAACACATCATAATAATATATATATATATATATTTAAGTCCTTTTCATATTATTACAAAGTGACGCTCACCTAGTGGCTCTTACCACGATTAAAAATCCCCGATACAAAAAAATGATAATAAAATATTAATAAAATAAATAAATAAATGAATAGATAAAATTTTTGCCAATGTCACAAAATAATAGTGATCAAGAGAATGAAATAGAAGAACCAATTTTTATTTCACTATCAGATGAAATAAACAAATTTAAAAAAACCACAATTAATTTCAGAGTTAAATAAAAGAAATTTAAATAGTGCGGGAACAGTTGTAGAACTTAAAAACAGATTATTAAAATATTTAAACGGAGAATCTTGCTCAAACGATTTTGTAACAATAAAAGACAATTGTCAAAACTTAAATAATCAAACCAAAACAAATAAAATGAATAGTAAAAAACCCTATTTCAAACCTGGCACTTTTTCTGGATCTTTATCTGAGAGCATAGATGCATTTTAAAAAAAATATCAAAGAGCAGCTTCTATTAATAGTTGGACTGAACAAGAAAAATTGCAATATTTACCTGCATTTTTTAGAGGGCCCAACACTAACTTTTTATGAAAACATTGAAAATCAAAATTTTAATAAATAGGCTGTTTTAGAAAAAGAACTTCGAACTTAATTCGAACCCATAGCTCACAAAGATATGCTTCGATTATTACTCGAAAAAAAGAAAGCAATTAGATGATGAACTACCTATTGCATATGTTGTAGGCATATGGTAAAATCAGGCATTTTATTAAATGCCTAGGCATATAGTCAAAGAATTTAATGTTTATGCAATTTCACTATCTGCCTAGTCATTTAAATAAATGCCTATTTCATGCCAGGCAAATAATAAAAAAAACATTTTGTATTATTTTAAAAATTTAAATATATTTTCTATCAGTTATTTATTGCTATTTTATAAATAAAAAAAGGTATGTATTATTTATTGATATGAAAAACACGTAGGTATACGAAAAAATATGTTTAATTTCGTGTTCATTATTATTTAGTGTTATTTTAAAAATGAAATCATATATATATATATTATACGAGTAATAACTAATTAGATGTAATAGACGTAAATGATAGTACGAATATATTGTATAGCCTATAGTCAGTATAGTACGAGTAATGAATACTATATATTCTTATTAAATAAAAATAAAAGTTCCATTGGTTTTTACCTTGGAAAATTAACGTACATAGGTACTAGGTTGTATGAGAACCTTATCTATATTGAGTACCGTGTGACAAATTAAAATCATATCGATTATAACGACATACATATGACGTTACGAAAAAAAAACCCGACTTCGGTAAAATACATATAAAAAAAAAATAAATGAAAAAATTTGGAATAGATAAAACTACCTATATATAATAAACTTAACAGAAAAATTAATTCATGATTATTCTAAGTATTAATAAATTAACATTAAATTTTGTTGTAGTCGGGTGCCTTCATTAGTTAAACAACAATGATGTGTTATACTTTAAATAACCCAACGAAGTGATGAATGTATTCATTTTACAATGTGTGTGTTTTTTTTTTTTTTTTTGTGTGTGTCTGTATACAGCATAAGTAGTCGAAATAATGCTTCAATTTCAAACTTCGGGGATAGTTTCCGATGACAAAGTGAATATCCTTGGTGCATTATAGAGGTAAAAAGTAAACATTTTCCAACAGTTTTCAAAAAAATCGAGAAAAACAAAAAAAAAATGAGGGAAAAACGGGAATTTTTACGCAAAACCAGTTTTCGACCAAATCGATTTTTTTATATCGTTGTAATTCAAAAACTAATCACTGTAAATACTTGAAATTTTCACCAAATGTTTATGTTAGCGTTATCTATATACAGTTTAATTTTCAAAAAATTTTTACTTTTTTTGAGTTATTTATAGACCACTGAAATTATCGATTTTTATGAGAATTTTTTTTTTGAAGTGTCGATAAAAATTGTTGGATGACCAAAAAATTTTAAAAATGTAATACAAGGTTCCTTATGAGTTGTTCTTATTGTAGCTAAAAAAAATTAAAAATCGTTAGTCACAATTTTTTTTTTATAAACGTTTATAGTTCAAATATTTACGAATTCTATCGAAAACGCGAAAATTTGTAAATAATTTTGAAGTTGAAAAATCATAAAATTTTTTTGTGTTTATAACTAAGGATTAAAAATACTACACTATGTTTTCCCTAAGTTTTTCTTAAAGTAGCTATAGTAAAAACTCGAAACATCATTACAGGAAAAATTTTAACTAACATTTTTAACTCACGCCTTCCCTCTGATAAAGCTTTTTACTTTTTGAAACCACAACATACATTTTTAATTTCAAATAAAAATGTTTTTTTGAAAAGCTTGTCGTTAACTTATTGGAGATAAGTGACTAAATCATTGCGATCGGTAGATCGTAGATGTTTGAAATGATTGTGATACACATACGTACCTATTAAACACGAAAGACTTTTAAGGAGATTTAACTTACTACATTCTTGTCATATTTTATAATAAAAAATAGAACGAACTAATAGCCGATAAAATAACACAACAAAAAGGTTGATATATGTTAAACACAATTTTTAATAGCTACTAGCTATCTAATATAACCAAACAATATTAAATATTATACCTTAAATTTTAACGCAGTAAACAATAGGTAACGAACTGCGTTATGCGCAGCATAATAAACAGCGAAAAATTTTTTTAGTTTGTTTCCATAAGGAACGGCGACATTTTTAGCTTTACGAGTATATACGACAGACTCAATCTCTTCCTTTGGTGTGCCAGTTGGAACGTCTTCCAAAATGTCCACCGAGATGGACTCTTTTTCAATTACTTCGGTCGTAAAGGTTATCTTAATGTTAGGCATTGATATACATCTTCTAGCAGGCGGACTGGAGACATCGGACTTTGCCACGTCCGGTTCCGACGGGCTTTTGATGTTGTCATCCGCAACCTGTTCTAACGCCGATGAGGGATGAGATAGTTTGATCTTATCTACTACGGCTGGGGCCATCATAGCTGCGTTAGGTTAGTAATTGAAAAAAATAAAGAATATATAGCAATGAAAATATTTCAAATATTTTGGAAAGAAATACAACAACTCGAGACGACATTTCTGAAGAACTAACTGCTGATGATATGGCATCTATGAAGTTTACCCCAATGACTTCTTGTGACGTTGATCGAAGTTTTTCAGTATACT